TGGCACGAGGACCTGTCTCACTCTGAAGGACAGCAGGGATGGACACAGACACCCCAGGAGAAGGACCAGGAGCATCCAACTTACTAGGAATGCCCGAGACGAGCTTCAGAGGTCTGAGCACACGCACGGCCCGCAGTGTCCTCAGGTCCACGTGGGTGTTGAAGTGTGTCCCAGCGGTGGCAAGGATGCTGTGGGCAGACAGGGAGAGAGCTGAGTTACCATGGGCAGAGCCCTTGGTCACCCTGGTGCCAGGAGCTGTGTCCTCATGCCAGGCTGCGGGGAGCCATGAGGAGCACCGTGTCCCTGGGCTGGCACCAAGATTCAACACCTCCCAAAGCTCACATGCCAGAGAGCCCTGTTTGATGCCGACATCAAAATTTATAGGCCACTCCAGCCAGCCAAAGCCACCCAGGGTACACCCAGCCCTGGCAGCCCCCCAGCAATACCCCTCGCATGCCAGGATGGCTGGGGACATCCTCACACCACAGTACTGGTCATCACCCACACCATGCAGTCAACGGTGCAGACATAGTGTTTATCACAGGTGTGTGGGTCTAAACTCCTTTCCAGGCAGGCAGAACATGGACCAGAGATTGTGCTCCAGAGATGGGGGGTCACTCCCCTGATGGTGACCCATGGCAGCACCTCCAGCCATTGGCTGCTCTGGCTTTTTCCACACATGGAGCTTCCTTAAGAGTCCCACCTCTGGGATTGCTGAGAACAAGCAGAGAACCTCACACGCATTCAAAAATCTATAATAATGAAAGTTTGATGACCTTGGAAGGCAAACGGCAAGCACAGGAAGGACTCCAGAGGTTTTCTTTTAAAACACAAAGATTTTTTTTCAAGCCCATCTCTGGAAAACAAATTGGGGCAGAAGGAAGTCAGTGCAGACCGAGTCCAGCACTGGAAACACTCTGGGACCCCACAGCTGCTGGGAGGACAGGGATGGTGTGACTGGGGGACCTGAGGCACAGGGTGAGGAGGAAGGGCTACACTGTAGGGGCAGGGGATGGGACAGGAGGGGACAAGGAGAAGAGCGGGACAGAGGGAGGCAGCAACCTCGGGGCTGTTTGCAGAAATCCAAAAACTGAGGGAAATTGGGTCATTGTTCCACTAATTCATCTAATTACAGGCCAGAGCAGCTCTCCGGCGCACTGAGCAATTAGCACTCTTTCTCTCCCCATCTCCCCGAGGTACAGCAGGTCCCACCCTGCCCCTCCAGGGTGGCAGCTGGGTTTCCTACCATTCCCTGGCAGCAGAAACCACACTGGAGACCCCGAGACACTCCTTCAGCTTCATGTCCCAAATGCCTGGTGTCCAACCAGCCTCCCAAAGGGACAAGGGAAAGGCATTTGCAGCCCCCTGCACCAATTCCAGCTGGGCCGAGCATCTCCAGGAGACCAAGAATGGTCTGGTTCCAGTCCTTCTCTGAGGGTTCTCCCATCAGGAAACCAGGTTGTTTCAACTCCTTTTCGTCTCCCCGTTCTTCCTCTGTGCCCCAGCACAAGGGGTTGACCACAAAGCCCAGCCCCAGCAGCAGCTGGGATGCATCACCCATGGCTTCCCATGCATCAGGTTGCTTATTCCTGATATATACAGGGACCTTTCACCCTTGATAGCACTTTTCCCTGTCCTCCTTCAGCACAGTCCCTGTGCCCCAGCCCATGACCACTACCCACGGGGCTGATGAGAGAGCAGAAAAGGGACTTAATTAAGCCAGGAGCACCCAGAAGCTAGGAGAGCTGTGTTGTTAAATTGGTTGCAAGATCAGAATCAATAGATATGATAAAGCACGGCCACTCGGCAGCACATGGGAGAGAAGAGCACAGGTGCTTTAATCTCCTTCATGCAATCCGCCAGCGAGAGCAGGGTAACCCAGTGCTCCCCAAAACGCTGGCATGGAGGACACGTTGCACCCAACACCACGCTGGAGACCCCAAGACCCTCCTTCAGCTTCATGTCCTGATGCCTGGTGTCCAACCAGCCTCCCAAAGGGATGAGTGAAAGGCATTTGCAGCCCCTGCAACTGACTCCAGCTGGGGTCGAGCATTTCCAGGAGACCAAGGATGCTCCTGGGCTGGACACAGGCTCCAGTCCTTCTCCAAGGGCTTGCTGATGCAAGCCCAGTGCTGTGAAGAGCCCAGCTGGAAGGCTCCTGGCAGCAAAGCAGGATCGACAGCTCTGCACTACCACCACAGAGCAGCATGAGCCATGGTCCTACAGAGCTGGGTGGAGTGATGGAGGTGGAGCTGTCCCTGCTCCCAGCCCCACCACACATCTCCTCCCCAGGACAAGACCATCCCCAGCTGCCCACTGCAGAGGGGAGCAGGGATGCAAAGTCCTCTGCTAACCCAGATTTGTTTGAAGGGCTTGGGAGCCGCCGTGCTGAGCCTTCAGGCAAGGTTCAGGCGATTCCAGGGCACCACTTCCCAGTGCTCTAAATTAGCTGCTAAGAATGGGACTCCTCCGTGCCAAGGTGACATGCTCCTTGTCCTCGCTGGGGGACAAGGGACATCATGAGCTCTTTTGGAAGGAAGTTCTGGACAGATCACCAGAGTGTGGTGGTTGCACTGCAGATGTGTCTCCTGACTGACAACAGAAAGACGACCCACTGCTACGAAACAGGTGCCAGCACATCCTTCTGTGGGCACATTCACAGCTCCCAGTGAGGACAGATGCACTGGGAACATGAACTGCTGGAGCTGCTCCCGGCAAACCCATCCATCCCAGAGCACCAAGGCACCCCAGAACCTCTGAGCAGAGTCTGAGCAGCCCTGGACCATCTTTCAACCAATCAAGGTGGCTAGAAAAAGTCAAGCAAGCTTCCAAGCATGCAAGGATTGGCTTCTGTCTGCTTTTCCCAAGCCCTTCGGTGGCTCTACATAGCAGACATCACCTCTCCCTGCTAGCCAGGCTTCGCTAGTACACACAGACATCATCACCACAGTACTGTTAATAATAAATACAACGCTCAAAACACACCCTCCGGCTTAGGACTTCAGCATCTCACCTGCTAATTGCTTATTAACCCTCTAAGCATGCCAATTTTTTAAATTATTTTTGCAGAGAGCCACCCGTATCACCCAGCACAACCCACTTCTGATTTATTGATTGACACACTTCGAGGTTTCTTACAGGATGCGTGGCACAGAGATGGGACTCAGGCTGTGACAGACCTCTGCACCGACACACAGGGTGGCAGCTCCGGTAGCTGTAGAACAATTTAAACCCTTTTCGAACACTTACAATATCCACGTCTGATGTGCTAATAATTATTCTTTATTTTTAGGCAAGGACCCAAACTAAAATTACATCTCACCATCCAAGTTATTTGAAAAAGCTGCCAGATTGGGCTATAAAAATCCCAATGATCTCATGCTTTTCATCATATGTACTGGAGAAAAAAAGAAGGTGGGGGGGGGGGAAGTGAAGGCGTTTTTATAGGTCACCCAGGCAAAGGGGTTAGTTTTACTTCTTCAGAGGAAAAGGGGAAGAGACTTTAGGTGGAGAAAAGAGCAGAGAGGAGCTGAAGAATGCAAATAAGAGAGAAGGCAGGATGGGAAATATATGTTAATCCCCCAAAGTATAATTGAATAGTGAACAATCACCAGCAGACAAAAACATGCTTTCAGGGGAAAAAAAAAAATCTGATGCTTTGTGTTTGCAACCAGGATGATTATTTTATTGTATTTATTTACAGGCTGTGGAGGGAAGGGCAAGCTCCTGCTGTGCCCACCACACCTGCAGGCTGTGGGGCTGATGCTGGAGGAGCGATGCTCAACCCTTGGGCACTGCTCCAGCTCCCAGCAGCTGAGCAAAGCTCACGCCCTCACCTCCAGCTGAAGACCCATACCTATGGATTTCTTTTCCCAGAGGGGAGCAAACAAAACAAAACAAAACAGAATAATCACATTTAAAATGACTCTCTGGTTTTTGGGACTTGGCAGAATAAACCATAAGTGATGCTTGATGCCCCTGCCCTCACAGAGCCAGCACTAAATTCGGGCACTGTCACACACTACAGCACCCACCGTGCCAGGGGCTGCACATCACACCCACTACCCTCCCCATCATCCCATCAGGAGTGTCACCAGCAGCCCTGAAGCCTCAAACCTTGGGACACATACAGCTTGAGGCGTGCTGCAAAAAGACCCAGAGCAAAGGCTGAACCCCTAAATGATCAGATCAACCCTTGATTCATCCCCTCCCACCCCAAACTGAGCATCCCTCGATGATTTCCATCAGGGACCACTGCAGATGAGTTGTCCCAGCAAAGGGCAGCTCCAGGGTGTGTTGGGTGGAGGGAGGGATCGGCCGAGACAGACTAATCTCAGCTCAAAATCTGGGGCAGGGAGGGTGTTGGCTGGCTGTCTGACATGCAAATTAATATTTATAATTAAGTGGAAAGGCCCCTGAAGGCTTGCACTGCCACCTGACTCTATGAGGGAGACTACTTCATAATTAATACACTGGTCAAACGGCTCACGGAAAGTTACCTGCTGAATTTACCCCATTCTTGCCCTTTTCTGCTGGGGAATCAATTCCCCCCCTCTCTGCAGAAAGCATCACGAGTAGCAGGAGGTACTCTAGGCTCCTGGGTCCAAACCCTGCTCAAAGCAAGGCCAGCGAGGTCAGGTCACCCACCCTGAGGATGCCCTAGCAGAGTGCAGTGATCCTGCTTTGGGGATGCCAGGGGACAGGGACACAAACCAAGTCCAAGTCCTGCCCTCGGCACAGTTCAGAGCAACCTCAAAGCCTCCATCATCTTCCTTTGGTCTTTCTAGGTTTTGAGGACGTGACACAAGTGGATTGCACTGCTGCAAAGCTGCTGATCCCAACTTTCAGCTTCAAAAGCCCTGAACCGGGCACCAATGACTCCCTAAAAGGTGTGATGAGGGTGAATGACAAAATCTGCCCCCTCTAGCCTTCAGTCTGGGGGATCAAATGATCCCCCAAGGCCACCTCTTCTTGGAGAAGACCCCAGGATTTGGCACACAATGGAGCATTCCCCTCTGCCAGCCCACCCTGCACCTCTTTCCCACCTCCAGCCCCCATGACACCACTCAGGTTTGTCATGGGGTGGAGATGCTGGTGAAACTGCCTTTGCACAAATGGGACCTGGTGGAAACCTAAAGTCATTGCCAGGAGAGCTGGTTCCACAAAGAGAAACAGAGCACAGGTGACC